TTCGTGGGACCAACTGGAAAGTGAGCTGGCAGAGGGACCACGCCAGATTGAACTGGTAATTCAGTGTTGTCGATCTCATTTTTTGGCCACAGATGAAATACTTCCGATCTTTTAGTGCAGCCACCATGGCGGACCTAGTGCGCCTGTCTCCGACAGGCGTTGACTGACGAATTCACCGTCAGTGTCGCCTACGCCAGGTCTGTTGACAAACTTCCCTTCCGCCACACAAGACTCTGCACCCTAATCGAAGGTAGGTGATCAAAGATAGCTTGCTCACTGTCGTTTCAGAAACAGTTCTCGGTAACCCAGTTTCCAAAGGCTGTTGCCGACAGGATTTGGATAAAGAAATCCAAAAGTGGTTCGGTAACGCACGTCACCGACTGGCCCAGAGAACGCGCATGGATCAGTTGGCAGTAAGTTTCGACTTTGAACTGGGACAAGTTTATCAGTAGTAACCGATGCATCGAATGCATCACTGTTTCAGACGTCCGTATTGAACCAAGAAGCTGGGGTCTTCGAATTGGACGTGCCTCCGAACTGACTCGGTTTGGTTGTGAAACAGTTATTTTCGTATATCAAATATATTTTTATCCTTGTTTTGCGTTCTCTAAGATCCCGTTACTAGGTTTATTTTCTGCAATGGATACGACGATATGCACGCGTGTGGTTACCAGTGTAGGTCAGTCACGTTGCGTTTGTTAACCGCGAACCGTTTTGCGCGATTACTTAACCGTTGANGAACTCGATTAACAAGTGGTCAAGTAGCCATCAGATAGTCCCTCTAGGAAGGAATACGCCACGGCACCATTATTTAGGTTCTCCGTGGCCCTACAATGCGGCTAATGCGTGGCCGTTATGACGACGTAGAATAGGTCCAGTAACAGCGACTAACGGTAGTATGGTGGTAATTTCACTAACGAGGGTCATTTAATCGTCCAATCACCAGTAAACCCGGTTATTTAACCGTTTAACAACAGAAAAACATGGTTTTTGACGGTTATTTAACCAAGCAATAGCCGGCAAACAAGGTTATTTGACGGTTATTTAACCAAGCAATAACCGGAAACCAGTTATTTGAGGGTTATTTAACCGAGCAATAACCGGCAGGCAGTTATTTGACCGAGCAATAACCGGAAAACACGGTTATTTGACCGAACAATAACCGGAAAACTCGGTTATTTGACGATTATCTTGGTGCAAATAACCATCTGTTAACCATAAAAGTAGGTTATTAGAGGGTTATATAACCGTCGTATAACCGGAAACCTCGGTTATTTTGGACTGCGTGTGCTGCTTCTGATAAAGGAGAATTGATCAATTTGTATGAAAGCAGCTTCGATGTTGCAACTTAAACCTGCAGAGATACGTTTAGGATCGACTTGGGTTTATGCATTTCACGTGGAGGGACAATGGTGGGAAATACGGGTGGTGCGTGAAGATTGCCACCAAAGGCTTCGTTCATCCAAGGCGGCCATCCAAAAGATTTTTAGTGCAGGCTGTGAGTTTTTTTTAAAAATTTTCCAAAACTCATTGGAGCCAGAAGAGGCTAACGGTTTGTTACGCGAAATTCCTCACCGGTGACTCTTAACCGGCCAGAGGCACTACGGCCAAGAAACCTACTCTGCACGCAATTGGTCGAAAGATAGGCCTCCAGCCATTCCGGCAACAAGTCGACCTCTTATTGGCCAAAAGTCTGGGTCCAGCAGTCAGTATTTATCTAGCATCTGAAGGATGCTGGTTTATGATGGCGCGCGAAAAAGACAGTAATTTCATATATATAAATATGTATATATATGCATATATATAATAACGGATGCGCCATATATTTTTCTGACGCGGTTTGGTAAACAGGATCGAGGTTGTTGTCCAAGATTCCCGGGTCGATTTTGTTCTTATCGGTCAGTGGCTGTCGTTCGCCTGAAAGGCACAAGTGAAAAAAGGGTGTAGCACTGCTCTTTATGTTCTCAGCGCGGGGGCAGTATGCTTGCCAGCGCGAGGATTCGCATAATGCCTAGTAGTGCTTTGAACTGGGTTCTAGAAGGCGCGTGGGCAACCGTCGGAGGAAGGTCATTCCACACACCTACTACCCGAAAGGAGAAAAAATTTTCTCTAATCAATGGGTGTGCTCTGAGCTTGAAGATTTTCTCACTATGTCCCCGCCGCGTTTGCTGGTTCAACGGTAAAAATACTGATTCTCAATCTTTGTTCAAACCGGGTATAAGCAAGAATAAGGTCCCAACTGAGGCGACCGCACACCAAAGGAAAGAGATCACGCTTTGCGAGATGTGTTTCGTAGTCCACGGATTTGAGGCCGGCAACCATTCTCGTGGCGGCTCGATGGACACGCTCGATGAGGGTGACGTCTTTCGTGCGTCCTGAGTAGACAACTTGGTTGGCGTATTCCAGGAGCAGTCTGACGTGGGCCCCATAGAGTATTTGGAAGTCCACGCGAGTAATACGGGAGAAAGTGCGTCGAATCATCCGTAAACTGGCGAATGCCTTTTGAGCCGATTTCTCATGGTGTAGTGAGAAGGACAAGTTTGAGGAGACCCAGATACCCAAATCTTATTTGGCATCTATCTTCATGATGTTTTCTGGCCCCCTTTCACCATGCATAACAAGCGCAGTCGCCGAATCCCCTCCAAGCGACACATGGACGCACTTTTCATCATTCAGAGGAAGGTGCCAGTCCAACGACCACTGCTTGGCATCGTCTACATCCACTTGGAGGGCACTTGCATTGGAACTCCAGGATTTCAAGTCGTCCGCAAAAAGGAAACGTGGACTCGCAAGAACGTCTGGGAGGTCGTTGACGTAGATCAGAAACAGGAGTGGTCCCAAGACGGAGCCTTGAGGAACTCCAATGGAGACCGGCGCTGGAAAGGAGTAGGTCGAGCCTATTCTCACTCGGAATGATCTGTCTGATAGGAACGCCTTGATCCAGCGAAGGATTTTCCCTTGAATCCCGTAAGGCTCGAGTTTGTGGAGCAGCGAGACGTGTGGGACCCTATCAAATGCTTTTGAGAAGTCGAAAAATGTGGCGTCCGATATGAGTCCTTCGTCCTTGGCTTGGGTTAAGCTGTCCATAAACACGAGCATGTTTGTCACGCAAGAGTGGTGTGGAAGAAATCCGTGTTTAGCTGGAGATATTAGGTTGCTGGAAGTAAGGCGATCTAGGATGGCTCGCTTCCGAATGCGTTCCATCACCTTGCATGGCACGCTATTTGGGCACGGAGAAAGCCATACGCTTCCTGGCAGGAGATTTGTACATATCAAATCTATGAATAAAATTAAACTTTCCATGTAGTTTACCTTAGAACATGTGCCCGATAATGATGGCTACATGTAGCCAGCTCTTATTCATGTGCACCGCTTGGATTTGATCATCTGTCCACTATGGTCGATATCATGTTCATCGTGGCTTATTTCTCAAGTTAAAATGGAAAGGTCCGATGTTAAGCAACACACGGTCAAGGGTTTTCCGGTAATAACGAATACGCCTTCCACGATTTCTACTAGTATTAGAAATATTCGGGGAAAAATAATCTACGGGTGTCCATGTATCTTGTAGGATGTTTAGCGATTTATTTCAGATGCAAAACTATCTGCAAGCTCCGTCCACTGTGAGTGGTCCACCTTTTCCTCAATTAGAAATATCAGTAGCCGAACTGTTCACGAGCCAAGCTCAACCAAATCATTGGTTTGAGCCGTCGGCTAAGCCGCTTAGCAGATGTTTTTACTAATAGCCGCTCGTGGCTCGTTGGCCTAGTGGTATAAGCTCGGCGCAGAAACCGGTACGTTCGTGGTTCAGGTCTGGGGGACGTCGTTCAACTTCTTTTCGTCTTCCTCCGTTAGCATGTTTCTTCAAAAACGCTACCACTTATTCTGGTAGCCATACACAGCTTAAGAATATGATTAGCTAAGTTGAAGGCAATTCAATTTCCAAATGTCAAGAGTCTTGGACATGCAGATGAGTTTGAATCGGGACATACGAAAACCCAAATATCCAGTTCTTGTCAAAATTTTATCCGACGAATTGGGGGTGGAAAGTCAAAAACAGGCTGTGTGAACGCAGCTCGATCAAGGGCCTTTCAAAGTACGTAAAGACGTTTTGTGATGTTAATTTTATACTTTCGTTGTATAAAGTTAACTTGCACCTATTTCAAGCGGAGAAGCAGAGACCTTCTGGAACAAATTTTCTTAATTGATTCGGACCATTCTCTCTTGGAATAGCAGTCCGCATTTCTTGTGTTTATGCGCTTTAACCATTTAGCCCGTCCTTTTTTTGCTTGTGCGCAAATGCACTTTGAATGAGCCCGCTTCTTGGATTGTACACAACCTACCGATTAGAAAGCTGGATTATGCATGAATCGCCTGTCAGCAATATCTTGTTAAATTAGGTAATTTATTCGCAGTTGGTTGTGTTTGAGTACCTCTAGGATTCGCTAACTTAAACAAATCACCGATGTAGATAAATTGCATAATGATCAGTCATACACAGACATTCTACACTTTGAAGTGGCGACCACGAAATCGTCGCAGCTTTCGGGAGTCTGATTCTAATTCGTTTATAAGGGGCCAGTTAGCCACATAATGTCCTCAGCTGCATTTGCGTTCCCCGCTCCAGCACCTCAGTGTCGGGAAAAGACTCCGTGACATAAAGCATGACAGGCGATTGAAAAAATCTCAAGGAGGGCCGAGTTATGTAGAGTGCATTCTTGAACTTGAGTTCAAGTTGATCGGTCTGCACTGGGCGGTTGTTTACCGTTACCCTTATGGTATACCAGAAAACTCACATCCAATGGCTGTTGTTGACTAGCTGTTTTGACATCAGATTGGCAATTTTCTTTCTGGCCTCGGTACTTAGCGCTGGCTTTACCGCAGTTCAGTGACGTTTGAGGGTCTCAGCTTTTGGAGTCTTTCGAGGTATCTGGCCTTCTCAGCACGATAAACACGACAAACGTGTAGTACGCTGTACTCCGCTGGCACGCTAGGTGTGGTGCTTCTATGAGACTTCAAGATTTGTGCACGAACACGGAGACTTCAAAACTCTTTCAAACGAATTATGGAAGATGGCTTAGCTACAGTAAGCAGAGAAAAATGTGGTCATTACACAAATAATTGTGGAAAGCGCGTTTAATCCAAGACCATGACCAGTATGAAATTGAGACATGCTATTGTAAACGGGCGATAAGGAGAAAATCGATTCATAATAGGACGTTTGATTTTTATTTAGAGTTAAGAAATTTCATTGCAAACGGTTAATCACCGAAAAAGTCACTGCGCGTGCGCAGTGCGACGTAGCGATGAGTTAATTTTTGTGCTTTGAGTGGTGTTGCGAGCGTTGTAATGAACATGCTGCCAGCTGAAGCTGGCATTCAGTTAAGATTATTGTTCAACCGGAGGGTTCAATCACTTGATGTGTTGGCAAATACGTGACCTTTGCGCTTTTCCTTATAAGCATCTGATTGGTACTGAATTAGTGACCCTTGTCATTGTTCGCTGTGGTTTCTTAATTGCGAAATTTTCCGCTGACTCTGA